TCATTAATATTATCATTTATATCATTACTTGCAATGTTATTATTTTCCAATGAATCAAGATTTTGTTTTTCAAAAAAACTTGTTAATTTCATAGAATTTGCAGCATCCTTTTGATTTTGTGCCTTTTTGCGATAAGTGGTTCTTTCAGAATTTCCTATATATACCAATGGACGATTAGAAGTAGAAAAATCTTTTTTATGAGCATTTTGCATCATAACTTCAAAAATTGATGCATCTAAATTTTCAATCACATTATCCAATGCCTCACTATGCCAATTGTCATCATCAGCATCACTATCAGAAAGTTCATACTCATTAGTATTTTCAATCTCAACATAATCGGATTCACAAATAGTCTTATCATCATCATCAGTTTCTGGTACAAAATCATGTGAGAGAGTATTTTGAATAAATAAATTGTTCTTTGATTTTTTTGCAAGTCTAGCTTCTTTAAGTTGAGAATTTCTTTTTTTTGGTGGCATAATTAATTTAATTAAGACAAATAATTTTTATAAATATTTTTGACGCGGTGATTTTTTTACATCTATACAAGACCAAATTTAGAAATGATAATCGTAGATCATCCTAAATTTAGACAATCGTGTTACTGCCAAATCATCTTGAACATAGTAAAATACATGTACTAAAAAGGAATAGAACACGATAACCAATCAATATTTTGAAAAAATCTCTCTGTTACGATAAAGTTTGAGTCTCAATCTATGCAATAACAGAGTTATTTTTAAAAAAGGATCAACAGAAACGGACTTCTATTCTTTCAAAAATCACGTGCAAAAATGGTGGTTATAGGCTTCGCGCACCATACAATGCAGAAGAATATTTACCAATCAACCCTAGTCGTAATAATATAATTGCAGAGAATGATGACTATGGCTCAACAAAAATCATTAAACGAGTATTAAGCAATAAAGAAGATATCCCATTTATGCCTGTTGATATTGAAGAATATAATGAGTATATAAACAATACTCCACATTATGTTTTACGTATATATGGATGTCTTGTCAACAGAGAAAAGGTCGTAGTAACTATTTCAGGTATTAAGGTTTTCTTCGATATCCATCTTCCCGATGATAAAACTGTTGATGTATTCAAGACTGAAATAAAAAATACATTTAGAAATGGAAAAGATGACAAAGGAGAAACTATAGACATAAATAAAATTCGGATAGAACACATAAAAGCATTCCCTATTCGTGGTTACCATGCAGAAAAAAAGTCATATATCCGAATTTACACAACAACTGCTTTTCAAAGAAAAACTGCTCTAAATATTATTCTAAAACATAACTTAGAAACTGCTTCTGACGATAGGAGTGCATATTATCGAAAAGTATCACAGACCGTTTTTCATCTGGATCGTAAATGTAAAATAAAATTTATGTATAGTAATAGTAACAGAGCAAGAATCTAAACCATGTATGGTTGATCCGATTTTGAGTCCTGCACAAATATATCAACTAACCTCCTACACGTTCCACTAATACAGAGAACCCTCCCTAAGTGCACCCTCCCTAAATGCATGCACTATGTATACCCTCCATAAATGCATGCTCACAAGAAATAGCACTATGTTCCCAAGGGGGTGCACTTATAGAGGGTTCACTGTAATTGTCTATGTTCCATGAGATCCCGCTAAATTATTTTCTCATTGGTAAAAATCACAAACTCACTGTAGCCCAAAAATCTCAAATCATTGGTCTTTTTAAAGGTAAACATACCAGGAAAGAATTCAGCAAGATTACATAAATATTTTAGAAAATGAATTGTTGCTATTCATTCAAGAAAACTTCTCTACAAATCACTACAAATTTCAAGATGATAACACACCTGTTCATACAGCAAAAAATGTTATAAAATGGTTATCTGAAAAAAAGTAAGGATTATGAAGATTGGCCTTCTCAATCTCCAGACCTCAATCCAATTGAACACTTATGGGACAAGCTTGGTAGAAGATTAAAAAAGCGTCCCTACACCCCAAAAAATAAAGATGAATTAGAAAATTATTTGAGAGAAGAATGGCAACAAATTCTGTGAAAAATATTTGAGATTAATTGATAGTATGCCAAGAAGGATAGAAGAATGCATCTCCAACAATGAGTAGACAACAAGTTATTAAAATTATTAAAAAAATTTTTTTTTGAAAAACTTATCTTTAAATGATCAACATTTTAAAATTTCAATATCGACTTTTACTTTTTAAAATATCTCATAATAAAAATTTCATAAATCAAAAATCAAAAATCACATTCGCAGTCACAAGTACCAAAGTTATCAAATGATATAAAAATCACAAATATTTATTTAGTATATTTTTGCAATAAATGCAAAAGAAATTTTGGATATAAACTTTTGGCGATCAAGTGTAGATTTTCATTCTAAGATGTAATGACGAATCTTGCATAATGATTCTAACACATTTCTTCTTCCATCTGGTTCTGCAAGATCAAAACCACCATATGGATTACTACTATTCCCTGGCTATCTAAAAATTGTAACTGATTGCTGTCGTGGGCAACCTGCACCAAGTTCATCCCAATATCCTTTACAGATTATTGCATAATAAAATGTAATGTAAGTTGAAATTACATGAACTACAAATATAACTACATCATGATTCACTTGAGCTTGACGTATATTTTCTTCCCACTAGCAAGCATTTCAGCCAATATTTGTGGTTCCTCATAGTCATTGCCTGGCCTAACGTTAGCTAGATGTTTATCCTATTAAAAGATCATTTGAGTTAACAAAAATATGGATATATCAAGCAATCAAGAACATACAGACATCAACGATCAACACAGCATATCTTTTATAATTAATTATAAATTCGGTTTTTGCTGAAACAACTGCATTACCAACAAAAAATTTGAACATTAGATGTAATCTAAATTTGGATGTAATGCAATTTTTAAGGAATTATTAAAGTATATCGTAAACAAAAGATATTTTCCATCAATACTCACTCAACCATCAAGGGCCATTGATTAAAGTCGACAGCAAGAAATATCAAATGAGCCACCAATGTATCAGTAATAGCTTCACTCGTTCCTATATCAATTCCTGAGTTCTCGACAACTTTGTGCAATTTGTAAATGAATGCTTTAACATGATTATTTTGACTCAATTGGTCAATATCTAAGTCTCTTCTTTCTAGTGTAATACAGTTGATATTCGGTAGAATGTATTCTTGTGGAATGTTGACTAATATGAATTTAAGTCATAACAGTCAGTGTGCAAATCCTTTCGCTTTTTTTTAATTAGTGTGTGTAACATTTGCTTGAATGCCAAGAATTTCTTTTAACATTTATAACACATAAACTTCTTAATAGATTAAAAAAATGATATAAGTGCTGATTGTCTATACTCAAAAATCATGAAATTTAAATATCATGTGATCTATACACCAGATTTTAAAGAGAATACCACCATTCAACTCAGCTTTAAAAAAAGAATTAATTCAAGACATAAAAAAAAATTAGTCACATTTTTATGTCACTGATCTTTCCTAATCTGGATAATTCATAAATATGTTTTGACAAAAGCAATTAAAAATGCAAAAATAAGTTTAAGTTACACAAAAACACAGATAAAACTCGAATTTTAATACTTTTTCACTGCAAACTCTGCCAACTTTCCTGAAATTCCCTTCCTATAAATATCCATGTATCTCCAACCTTTTTGTGCATAATGACAAATTGTTGTCAAAGATACTGAATTTAGTGCTTCTGGTACAACTGTTTGTAAACTTGACCACTTGCAGTCACAATTCTTTCTTGTATAATGTTTTGCAGCTCCCCAAAATATCTCAATAAAATTGAGCTCACAATGAAATTTTGGATAAAATATACATTTGTGTCCTCTTTTTTCAATTTCCTCTTGAAGAGTTGATTTTTGTGACAAGAAATCAGGTTGTGGTGATATAATGTGCCTCATGCAACAATCCACTTTTTTCAAATCAACTACTTTGGTATGTTTCCCTTTACATAATTTACAGTCAGCAACTAATTCATCACTCCATAATCCTCTTTCTTTTAAAATTTGGCACATTCCTTTAGGTAAATTTGGATGTGTTGGATGGTTAGCAGGAAAGACCATTTCTTGTGGAGTATTATTTGGCCCATAAAATGTTGAGTGCGTGCAAGGTTGTTCACCCCCAGGTTTTGCATTCATATGTGCAGCATTCAATCCATCTTTTGGCAAAGCTGCAAAATCCTTCATGTAAATCCATTTTAGACTGCTTAAGGAATGTTACTCAGAAATAGGGTTGTATTCATGAATATCATAAGGGGGTAACACAGGGTCACACACTATTAAAATCAAGTGATCAACTCATGTTTTTAAGGGATTTTTTGCTGTTTTAATATGTAATAGTGTGTAATCATCTTAATGATATTCATGATATTCATGAATATGGAATTTGTTGGATTCGGATGCTTGTTGTATTCCCTGCAAATGTCAAACAAAAAAGTTTTCATCAGTGGATCAGGGAAGAAAAAAGTTTTGAAGTGGTAATTATAGTTGATGCTAATAATGCTGAACAGCTACTTGATGATGAAGCTATTGAAGTCCTAAATTGTTTAAAAAACAAAAATAGCTTGAAAAGGAGAGTGAAGATATAGAATTGGTATGTATAAACAATTGTCATTAATTTTACTTGTCATTTTCTCATTTTATTTTTCCATTTAAATTTAAATAGATAAATAAGGGAACAAATACTAAAAAGAAAATTATATAACAAGGATAATAATAATATCAATGTACAAATTCATCAATTTGACATGTATATACTTTTGTGCAAGATAAATAAATAAAATTAGATTCATTTAAAAGCTTATTTGATACTTTATTAAATAAATAAATAAGAAATTCTTTCCATGTTTTTTTCTAAGACCAATTCAAATCTAAATTTCATAGACAATAATATTTTTGACTGTTTCCTGAGGAATTCCTCAACCATAAATCTCTTCAATTCGTCAACATTCTTTGGCATTCTTTTTTCAACATTTATTTTTCATGATATACTGCATGTTCTCAATGGGTTAAGGTCAGGACTGTTGGATGGCCAGTCTATTGCATGAATCCTTTTTTTGTCAATAAAAGTTTTTGCAACACGTGATGTGTACTTTGGATCATTATCCTGTTTTAAATACCAGCTTCTACCATACAATTTTTGTGCTGCAGATAAAAGCTGAAATTCTAATATGTTAACATAATAGGGTCCATCCATAATTATTGGTAAAGCAAAATAATAACATTTTCCTTTTAACAAAATGCCACCCCAGGTCATTATTTTTGATGTTCTTTTGCCCTACACAAAATTTAGATACTTAAAATGCACTTAAAATATACATCATACACTTAAAATATACTGGTAGAAGAGAACAAGAACATTTTAAGTGAGTTTTAAGTATGTTTTAAGTATATGAAATTATACTCAAAACACACTTAAAATATGCTATATACTTAAAATATACTTAAAACATACTTTTGATGGTAAACTAGCATACTTGAAATACACTTAAAATATACTTAAAGGTTACTTAAAATATACTTAATTTGTTCATTATTAAAAAAGGTATGTTTTAAGCACATTTTAAATACCTTCAAGTAGATTTTAAGCATGTTTTAAATACATTTTAAGCACCTAAACTTTTTGTAGGGTTGACAATCTCCAAATTGGTCTTTGTCCATCTTTATGCCATTTGCAAATTTTATTACAAAACAAGTCAAAGGCTGTTTCATCAGCAAAAATTGTATAACTCCAATCATCATTCATATGAGATTGTGCTCATGCCATTCTTGTTTCAACATGGTGGGCTGTTAATATTGGTGCTCCAACAGGTATGGAATTCTTATAATTTTTCTTTATTTGTTAAATTAATAAACTTTTCCTCATGTATATTATAAGCATACAACTTGAAAAAGTATTAAAAGTTTTAAATCTTCTATCTTTTTATTATTTTTTATTATTTTGCTAAAAGAACTAAAAAGAAAAAATAGATCAATACTTAATAATAAGATTATTTTCCTTCCAAGTATTTTTGCTTTTTGTTGGGTAGTAGTACACCTTCATTCTGCTTTCTTTTTTCTAAAATTTATGGTTTTTCTTTCTTCTTGGTAAATTTCATAGGTGATCTTTTCTTTCTTAGATAAGCTTCCAGTGTCTGAGTATCATTTATTTTGAAAATGTAAGGTGTAATTTTTTCACCTTGTTCCTTCTTCAAAATACCTCTAATGGTGCTGTAATTTTTGGGTTCCATGGTAGACCTAATGTAAATTAGTTTCATATTAATTATTTTTATATAGAGGGATAGGATAGTTCTATATATCACTTAACAAATGAGACATTATAAAACTGTTAATTATGATCACATTACAAATGACTAAATTTTGATCCCTGAAATTCTTGGTTATACTAATGTTCACTTTATCTGGTTTTGTTGGAGTATGCCCCAAATATACTGATGAAATGTTTGAGTTATCAACCTGTTACTCATTCATCAGGAATTTTGTTATTAAAATTAATAAAATTAATAAATAATATCATGAAATATATTATAATTATAAAATAATTCATAAGCTTTTTGGATATAAATAAAGTCTATGCTAAATTTTGTATATGTGTATGTATATAAATTACTTCTTTACCTGCTTATCATTCATTCACTATTATGATTGTTTTCATTATCATTTGTAAATAATTCTAATATGATTAGAACTATAAAAATATGAATAAATTATTGAAAATTTGTTACATCATTTAATTTTGTAAAAAGCATACTTTGAATAAATATTTAACAAATAGTTTTAAATGATCTTTACTTTATTCCCTATTGCGTTTAACATATTTATCTCAAATGATCCTCTGAACATTCTCAGTGCAGTGTGCAAAAAGCAGCAAATTATCACGTTAACACATATGAATTGATCGACAAAGGAGTTCCAATTTTTCTAGATTCGGTTTCCAAATTTGGTAATAACCCTGATTGTAATAATAAGCTAGCTTTACCGATCTAACTCGGGAAAAAACCTCTAAAATTTGGTGAAAATTTGTAGATCAGGAGGAAATATTATGAATTTTAGTTCAATAATAAAAATCTTTTTATTTGCAGACAAGAGACGATAACTTTAGTTGTTAAGCTCGTGCTACCTCTTACTATCAAAGCTTGTTGGTCGTTTGGCAATTGGCAATTGCTAGTTACCATTATAATTTTTATAATTATTGCTTGGTTGATCTAATTGTAATTTTGACCAAAAATCTAACTACACATATATATATATATACACACATTTTAAACTCTTGACCAACATCACTTTTTCTTGACAACAATGTCTTCAAAGGTAATAAAGATGATAATAAGTATTTCAGAGTTTTAAAAAATCAAGTTATTTATTTTCTTTTTTTTTCAGTCAAGACAAAAACAACAAAACTCCAAAACTCTTTCTGCTTCTGATGGTAAAGAACAAGTTTTGTCAGTTATTACTCGTCTTGTATTGTATTATGGTTATTTTATTATTAAATTTTCCAATTGCTTTTTTTTGGAAAGAAGAAATCAAATACAGGAGAAAATATAAAGAACTTAAAAAAAAAATACATGAAATGGAAGAGGTACAAAATTTCCTTTTTTTTTTTAACATATGGTTTTTCTTCTTCTAAATGATTTTATACATATTATTATTATTTTTATTTTAGGAAAATGATAAAATAAATCTTAAGTTGATAGGAGCAAAAAAAAGCATACAACGATTGAAGATAGAAAGAAGGTAAAAAGCATATATAGACACAAAAGATAAAGATAATTATGAATTCAATATCATCATCATCGTCATCATCATCAATTAACTATTTATTCAATTGACCAGTTATTTTTTCTTTTAGTTTTCTAGTGGATCGTTTAGAGCAATCACAACAACAAATCAATAACGAATCTGAGTCAGAGACCTCATCATCTCCACAAAGAGCAATGGAATCAGATGATGAATTATCTTCGGTGGGTAGTGATGATAATAAAAATATAAATAAAAAAATATTGATGATAATGGCTCTTATAATATAAATATAACTACCTTACAATTCTAAAAGAAAAATTAAATTTCTATGATTGATATAATATGAAAATTTTATTTTGATCATATTAACGATAAGAAGGCATTAAATCATAATAAATAATTACAAGTTAATTATATTTATTTATTTTTAATTTAATGTACCCAACTTTATTTTACCCTTTTTAACCTCCTCCACATTCATCTCATCGCACTATCCTCCCCCCACTTTCACAATATATTCCATCTCTTATCACATCATTAATCTATACAATCATCCATGGATCAATGATTATTAATTCTTAAAATTAATAAATTTTTTTAAAGTTGGATAATACATAAATCAATTAAAACAATTCATAATAATAACAATAACAATTATAATAATTTAAATTGAATTTATAAAATTAGTCACAAGAAGAATTGCTTGAAGATTCACATGTAGGGAAACGTAAAAAACAAGTTAAAGATCCAAATGCACCTAAAAGACCACGTAACGCATTCTTGATATATTGTCAGAATCAACGTGAACAAGCAAGAGAAGAAAATCAAAACAACAAAGAATTTCAAGGTGTTACTAGAATTTTAAGTCGGAAATGGAAGGATTTGCCAGAAAATGAAAGAAAAGTTTGTAAAAATTGGATGAAATTTGTTTTATTCTCCCAATAATTTTGCCATCTATACACACTAAGATTTATTTGTCGATATAAATAGGTTTATTTTGAAATGTATGGCAAAGAAAAATTACGTTATGAAAAAGAAATGTCTAGTTATGTTGGAGCTTCGTCAAATAATTATATCGGCCCTGAGGATTCGCAAAGAAATCAAAATATATCAATAATGACGATAGAAGATGTCAATATCAATAATGTTACCAATAGTGTTAATGAACATTCTATTTGTTACGATGATCAAGGTTCATCTTTTTAATAATACTGACAAAAGATTTTGATTAGAAGCATCAGTTATCAATGTGACTTATTACTAATCTATCTTCCTCTTCTTCTTTAGCAAATGCTGAACAACAACAAATTTCTTCAAAAAACGCCTATAATCATTACAATTGTCAAGAAGAAAAGTATCAAGGTGGAGTTGATGCATGTGCCACAGAGCCGGGAGCCAATGATATAAAAGACCACCTAATGATGATGACGATCAAAGCGAACGGATATGAAGAAGACGCTTCAAATTCTTCTGGTAATGAAAGAATGTTTGATGAATTAGCAGCGGACATACCATATAATAGATTTGATATTATTCAACAGAGTTCCACTGATCAATCTAACAATGATGCTGGAAATTGGTTAAAAAAGACAGCTGAATTAATGTCGCATTATAATGAAAATGAAGATGAAGATGAGGTAAAAGGTTTAGAAGCTGTCGATGGTGATTATGAGGAGGAAGAGGAAGGATTGGGCAGTGTTGAAGGTGGTTGTAATTTAGAAGGATATGATAGACACGATGCACACAATTTGTTGTCAGAAAATGAAGATTAATCGAATATCAAAATTAGTCAAAGAAAACCTTTCTTCACTTTTAGTAATTAAATACTATCATCCATTTTTTAATTTTTCAAATCGACATTTTGTTCCTAAAGCTTTATGTCTAAAGCTTAAATAATGTCTTAATAAAATAAACATAAATCGATCGATATTAACATATACTTCCCTACCAAAAGTATCCGGATAATTAACAGATACAATCACTAATATTGATTCCTCCCTATATATCTATCCTTTTTGGGGGGTTTTTTTTGAAAAGCACAGTAACAGTAAAGGTAAAACAAAAATCGGGACAGTTTAGTTCGTGATCCGTGATATAGAAGTTTGCCTAAAATACTAATTTCGGCAATAGTTTCGGCAAATTAAAAAATTTAGTTCGGTTTTCAAACAAGAAAAATGCCGAAACTTTAAGCATAATTATTTTTGCCGAAACTAAATCTACGTGCGAAACTAAATCTATGTGCCGAAACTACAAAATGTGCAAGCATTTTGTGTAACTAATAATAACGCATACCCTTCCCCATTATATATACCGCTCTTTAGATGAGGATCACGTTCAGAATTCATTGTGCTATCTATGAAAATATTCTTAAAAAATTCATTAATCTCTTCTTTCAAATTCAATTTATTTCCATCCTCCTCATTAAAATCAAGTCCTCCATTGTGTGAATAATAATATCTTCGTTCTGTTTCTTTGCCCCACCCATATAAACAATAAATCTTCATATCTGGTGCATTTGGTAATTGAGATTCTAAAGGATTAGTCCATTTCGCATGTTTCAACACCTTATCATCATCCTTGTCGTCATCCTTCTGCTCAAGTTCCTCCTTTTTTGTTGAAATTCCATAACTATAATTTCTTGCCAACATATTATTGAATATTGGATTTGTATACTTATGTAAGAATTTAACTCCTGAATTACATGTATGATATTTATGAATTACGTCTCTTGTTACATTCTTGTTATCGCTGTCACTATTATTGTTATTATTATTACTATTATTGCATCTAAATGTTAACATTGGGCCATAAGATTCCATGATATCGTGACGATCATCCGGTGCATGCGTTATATTACCCCAAATTGCCTCACCACCCTTTGGTAGCATTGAGGAAAGTCCACCCCATGTTCTAAATAAATCTGCACGTTCACGTTTAGAAAAAAATTTTTCTAATAAATAAATTCCAAAGGCACCTAATTCAACTGTGTCACGCATTTCACCTGTAATTTATGCAATTAATTTGATTTAAAACAGTAATAATAATAAGTTATTGTTATTAAATATTTTATTGTAAAATAAACCTGAAAGTAATGCAGATAAAGCTTTAGGTAACCCTAATAAAGGTCCAGCGATATTAACAAATGCTTCGATGTTATCATTAACCCAATTTGGACCACCATTACCACCGGAAGGTGATTCAACCCATTTAAAGAAATATAAAGCAATCAATGATCCTATAAGAAATAATAACAAAAATATAATTATTATTGTTTAAAAAAAAGAAATTTAATTTCTCAAAAAAATTTTTATTTATTACCCATTGAATGTCCAACAACTACAGATTTCCTTCCTTCGCTTTTCTTTGCAAGTTCAAGATTAGCCTTAAGCTTGGAAAAATATTTATCACGGATTTCAAGATTGTAAAATGATAATCTCCAATCATAAGCAGCAAGGTGCATATTATTATTATCATATCCAATTGCGGCAAGATTTTGAATCATTTTACCTATAATAGATGAATTTATACAATAAATAAATAATATAGTTATAATTTGTTTTTGAAGTGAAAAAATTTGCTTACCCCAAACCCAATAGCTAATTAATCCATTTATAAATCCGTTTTAATATTTAAATAAATAAATATTTATCAAAATATTGCTAATATTAATATCAACTTACCCAGGAAATAAATAATCAGCAGCATCCAAACCTAATTAGCAAGTTAATAATATTCAGCAAACAATATGAGCATTCCATATTCTTTTATTATTGTCTTCAAAAATTGATCAAAGATCATTTATGAATTCTCTTTAAATAATAATAATAATAATAATAATAATAATAATAGAAAGATGGTTGGGTGATAACAGGAGCTTTGGGACTTATGTATCTTATTTCATTATTTATAGCATTTTATTTTAAATAACCTTGAGCAGCCCGTAATTTAACTCCAGGTGGATCTAATCCAGTAATTGGATCAAGTCTCATATGATGTCTCCAGCATTCTTTATCCATAAGAATTGCTCGAAACATTGCTATATAAGTTTTATTATTTGTTATTAAACAAAATCATTTTTATTAAAAATAGATAGAAAGGAAAAAGGGATAAAAAACCTACTTGTAGTACCCCACATTCGCTTTCTAAAATATGGTCTAGAACAATTTGATGTACTCCAACTTTCCAACCCCTTATTAAAATATATTTAATTAATGATTTTTTTAAAAAAATCAAATCATCACAACAAAATATTAATTTTTGATATTTACAGTTGAAACGATACCAGGTATTAATGTAACAGGATGATAAGCGCTTATACCTTCAATTTTAGCCAAATCTAAACCAGGTAAGAATTCAGTATCAGCTAGTATTGATATATTAGGTCTTAAATACATGGTGATATTTCCTAATAATTCCTCCACTATAACATTGGCTGGTAACATTTTGGTAAAATCCAAATCTAGAAAAGACATAGCTATAAAATCCGATAATAATTGCAAGTCTTTAGCTTGTGGGGCAAAGAACGAGGCTATCAAAAGACCAAACATTATCCCTGCAGTAAAAACAACACGTTTCTTCGTAAGAAAAGGCCTTTTCTCTTCGTGTTTTAAAAAAAATGTATCGCTAACAAACTCTTCAACCATTTCTGGTGAAGATATGTTTTTTTTTTTTCTAAATTCACTTTCTGTCTTTGAATGGGAGGAGATACTGCCACTACTGGAACAAGATGTTTGAGTTGAACTAGTTGAATCAAAGCCGTCCACGCTTGCATGATCATCAGAAGACTTTGAATTTTCATTTTTATTATGTTTTTTACGGTTACGACGTTTAGCATTATTTAAATTTTGAGACATTTTTTTTTAATTAAAAAAAATTTATACAAGAAGTTACTTATATTTTTATATGATCATTTTGTACAATACTTTAAAATTACATTCATGGTAAATGTCAAAATTTAATTGACGGATCTATTACTAACTATACTAATATGGTTATAAAAATTTCTTCAAATAAACCAGTTACTAGCCGGTTAAGGGTAAAGTTTACGTAACACGAATTTTATATTTGTAATATCATCTGTTGAATGATAAGAGGATGAATACTATTAGCGAACAAAAATTGACAAGTAAATAAAAATAAACAGGATATGGTTCATTCTCTCTATAACGACCTTCCATCATTATATGTAATTTCTGCCTTTGTAGTGTATACCAAGATGTTCATTATAGGGTGAGAAAAATGAATCAGGGACAAAAGAGGGGTTCATTATATATTTTACTTAGTGTTCGTTATAGAGGGTTTGGTTATAGAGAGAATTAACTGTATATTTTCCCCCTTTCTCATGTTCCTTATTTAAAATAAATTATGATGTAATATTTTACGTATTAATTATATTAATTATCTTTACAAAATACCAAGTTGTCTCGTTTGACTTCTATTTATAATCTAGTTGCTTTCAAAAAACTCTAATTTTAAATTAGAATGTTTTTTTTAATTCGAAGCCAATTTTTTTAAAACATATTCTATTTATACTTTTACGGCAGCTACAGTCTTTAAAAAATAATCGCAAATCCTGAACTGCATCAAGCATCAATCCATTTTTCTCTAACTGTAAATCATCTAATCCACTAGAGTTCTCATGTGATAATTCCATGCAATCTTCTGATAATTCAAAATTTGGAAGACATGTAATAATTTTTTAATAAATAAGATCTAAGTTATTATTTATGACGTTTTATATTGGTATTTTATTTTTAAAAAAATTTTCTCAAAAGTTTTATTATATGGTGCGAGACCTCTTAAACCACCATTTACTGTGCCTCGTGGCCAAATTTCAAATTTGTAACATGATTATATAATTAACAGTTTTATAATAATATCCCATTTGTTATCTTAAAGTGATATATAGAATTACCTATATAAAAATAGTTAATATGAAGCTAATTTACATCAGATCTACTATGGGAACCCAAGAATTACAGCACCATTAGAAGTATTTTAAAAAAGGAACAAGGTGAAAAAATTGCTCCTTATGTTTTCAAAATAAATGATACTCAGACACTTGAAGCTTATCTAAAAAAAGAAAGAATTACCTATGAAATTTACCAAGAAGAAAGAAAAATAATAAATGTTAGAAAAAGAAAGCAGAATGAAAGTATGCTATTACCTAACAAAAAGCAGAAATCCTTAGAAGGAAAATAATCTTATTATTACAATATTTTATCTATCTATTTTTTCTTTTTAGTCCTTTAGCAACATAAATTATAGCAATCATAAAACCTAAGATTAGAGTTATACCTGTTAGTCATGACCAAATAGATTTACTATCAAATTTTTTGAAGTATTGTTTTTATATTCCTCAGCAGCTCCTTTGGTAAAGTTTTGGTATTTTAGATCACTGACACTAGTTTTCAAATGGTAGATATTAGGAGCTTGGACTTCTCTGTTCATCTTATAGTCAGGCACTACAAAAATCTTGTCTGGAAAATCTTTTTGAGTAGCCACAATATGAGGAGAATCACCATTGATACTCACATCAAAATCTGGATGGTTATCCTTAACTCAGTCTCAACTGAAGGGTTTGCTTTCCATTGACTTTTTTGATCAAATAAATATCTAATTTACATTGTGAAAACTTTCCAAATGTCTCAGCATACATTAGTATTTTTACCATTTATCTTTTATAATAAATATTGGTACTATTGGTCATATGTAATAAAAAAATACAATTTACAATTACTAAATTTAATTACTAAATCAATTTATATTAGCA